GGGGTGGAGGAGGGGGTTAGGTTTTTTTGGGAGGTTTTGGGGTTTTAAAGAAATAAAGTGATTTTTGTTATGAACCATAAATAGGAATTTTCAAACGGTAAAAAACATTTCATTTTTTCAAATGTGGGAACATTTATCAAATCTAATTGAACGAAGAAATGTTCTGAATCTATTTTATCCGACATCATGTTTACAAAACTACAACTTCATTCTTCTTATTAGTTATATATTTGTCTACAAAACTACAACTTATCATGTTTATTCATTTTTCAAGTTCCATATAATTTTTTTTTCTTTTTATCGGTTACTTTTTATTTTCATCTTCTTACAAGAATAGTTAAATACATTGACCCGAGTAGTTGAAAACATGAACATAAATCAATTATTGTTCATGCATGTTGCACTAATACAATTTGTTTTTCATGAATATGATTCCGATCGTTTTTTTTTTCCTTTTTCCCCCAAGATCTGTACACTTTGTTTTACGCCTGAACTTTTATTTGCAAATGTTTCTGATATGCCTAATTGGGCCAACCCAACGGGCCCACAATTTCTTTATCTATTGGGCTACGAGCCCAATATCGAAAACTAATATCACCGAGGCCCAAACACCTTCAAGTAAGGCTTGGGCCCAACAAAGCAAACCCAACCCAATAAACGACATATAAATAGAGGTTTTACTCATTTTATTAAGGTGCGTCCTATTAACTGAGTAATACTATCAACTGTATTCTCGGGACTATTTCCACTATCAGCACGTCTGACTTGGGCGTCGGAGGGGTTTCCGCCGGATCAACCCCCGGCGTAGTTCACGTGTGCTCATTTCGCAGGTACCTCAGGATCATCAAGTTGTCAAGCTACTGATCCGCTTTGCTCTCCCAGTTCATTTTCTACACCACCCTAGGTGAGCTATATTTTAGCATCATCATTTTGGCGCCGTCTGTGGGAACGATGCAAACCAGATCACGTAGCCAACAAGATCCTCCTGAGGCGTCTGCTCGGAGAGAAAATGACACAGCTAACGACCTCCCACCTTGTGGAGGCTCTGGCTTGCCACCTCCTCCACATCCCATGGATCCGCCTCGCGAGGTTCAGGTGATCCCCCCTCGGGACCCACCACTCGCCGATCCACCACTCCCTGCTCCTCGAATGGTTCAAATAACCGAGGATGCGCTTCAACGCATGATAGAAGAAGCTTCAACTCGCGCTGCCACAGAGGCTGTGACCCAATATATCGCCACGATGGGAGCAAATGCTCCCAACGCGATACCAGCACGTGCTCCACATGTGGAGCCACCTATGGCACCACCGCCATCGACTCCCTGGGGGCTTACATCTGCCCCCAAAATATTTCGCTCGCCAAGGGTTATCAACTCCCTGGGGGTATACAGTGCCCCCAAAACATTTCGCTCGCCAAGGGTTATCGACTCCCTGGGGGTATACAGTGCACCCAAAACATTTCGCTCGCCAAGGGTTATCGACTCCCTGGGGGCTCACATCTGCCCCCAAAATATTTCGCTCGCCAAGGGTTATCGACTCCCTGGGGGCTTACATCGCCCCCAAAATATTTCGTTCGCCAAGGGTTATCGACTCCCTAGGGGCTTACATCTGCCCCTAAAATATTTCGTTCGCCAAGGGTTATCGACTCCCTGTGGGTTCACAGTGCTCCCAAAACATTTCATTCGCCATGGGTCATCGACTCTCTGGGGGTCTACTTCCGCCCCCCTCGAACGGTTCAAATAACCGAAGAGGACCTTCAACATATGATCGCCGAACCTTCAACAAGATCAACTTCTACTTGCTCATCTAACGGTTCAGATAACCGATAAGGACCTTCAGCGTATAATCGCGGAAGCTTCAACTTGTGCTACCACTGAAGTAGTGGCACCATACATCGTCATAGCAGGAGCCAACGCTCCTCCTCGTGAGGCCCCACTGGGTCCTCAACATGATCAATTTCTACTTACTTCTCGAACGGTTCAGATAACCGAAGAAGACCTTCAGCGTATGATCACGGAAGATTCAACTCGTGTTGCCACTGAATCAGTGGCACCATATATCGCCAAGGTTGGGCATCTCACCCCAGTGGTTCGTGATCGCTTCATCCTAAATGGGGGGCTATCCCATCCTAAAGTTGGGTATCTCATCTCAAGGGTGGTACATCCACTTACCTTTCAACCCCAAGGGGTTTCACATCCCATCAAGTGTTTCACGTCCCTACTTCAAAAAACAGAAAAAAAAGTCTGACGCGCACGCGCGAACCAATGGCACAACCGTGCACATCCACCTCAGACCATAGGTCTCGAGCGTCTCATCCTACAATGGGCAGTTATCCCCATCCTAAGGTTGGGCATCACCCTTACCTTTCAACCCCAAGTGGGTTCACACCACATCTCAAGAGACGAGTATAATCTCCCTACTCAAAAAATAGAACACCCCCAAGGGGGCGCACATCCCATCTCAAGGAACGAGGATAATCTCCTTACTCAAAAAATAGAACATCCCCAAGAGGTGCACATCCCATCTCAAGGAACGAGGATAATCTCCCTACTCAAAAAATAGAACATCCCCAAGGGGGTTCACATCGCATCGCAAGAGACGAGGATAATCTTCCTACTCAAAAAATAGAACATCCCCAATGGGGTGAATATCAACCCCCAAAAAAAAAAAAAAAAAAAAAAAAGAAGATGAAAAAATAGAAGAAAAAAAAAGAAGATGAAAAAAGAGAAGAAGAAAAAAGAAGAAGATGAAAAAATAGAAGAAGAAAAAAGAAGAAGAAAAAAAGAAGAAAAAAGATAGAAGAAAAAACAAGAAGACGAAAAAAGAGAAGAAGAAAAAAGAGAATAAAAGAAGAAGAAACAAAAGAAGAAGGAAGAAGATGAAAAACAGAAGAAGAAAGAAAAAATAAGAAGAAAAAGGGGAGCTGCAGCCGAGCCGCGCGCGCGAGCCGAGCCAAGCCCCGCGCGCGCGGCTTTATTCAAAAAAAAAAAAAAACAGGAGGCGCGCGTGCACAGCACGCGCGCGTGGCGTACACGCGCCAGATGCGCGCGCGTGCACTGCACGCGCGCCGAAAAAAAAAAAAAAAAAGACATGGAGGCGCGCGTGCACAGCACGCGCGCCAGCAGTAAAAAAAAAAAAAAAAAAAAAAAATCTCAAACGCTCGCGCGCCTCCCCATGCACGCGCGCGCGCCTCCCAAGGCCACCTTGGAGCGCGCGCTCCCACCTAATTGGGCACAACTTTTGCTACTCTCCACCAAATTGCGCGTAGATTTCACCTCGCTTCACCAAATCGCGCGAGAATTTCAACGCGCTCCACCAAATCGCGCGAACTCTTCAACGCGCCTACCAAATCGCGCTCGCTATCAAACGGATAAATAAAAAAAAAAATTCTCCATGCCATGCCAACGATTAACGCAAGACTACAGCACAGATCTACTCTCAATACGATCCGGTACTCCTTTCTACTTGGCTCCCACATCGTCTCGAGAGTGGAGGGCTTGCGAGACAACTCCCACGAGGAGCAAACTCGTTCAGTACTACCACCCGCAACGAGACAACTCCCACGAGGAGCCAACTCCCTCGGGTCTACGAAACCATAGCGAGATAACTCCCACGAGGAGACCACTCGCTCTGACCTATAATCCGTTGCGAGGTAACTCCCACGAGGAGCCAACTCCCTCGGGTCTCAAAACCACAGCGAGATAACTCCCACGAGGAGACCACTCGCTCCGTCCTATAACTCGTTGCGAGGTAACTCCCACGAGGAGCCAACTCCCTCGGGTCTCAAAACCACAGCGAGATAACTCCCACGAGGAGACCACTCGCTCCGTCCTATAACCCGTTGCGAGGTAACTCCCACGAGGAGCCAACTCCCTCGGGTCTCAAAACCACAGCGAGATAACTCCCACGAGGAGACTATTCGCTACGTCCTATATCCCGTTGCGGGACAACTCCCACAAGGAGCTAACCCCCTATAGTCTCAAAACCACAGCGAGATAACTCCCACGTGCAACCACCTCACTCGATAAATATTACTCACCGCGAGACAACTCCCATGAGGAGACAACTCGCCCGAAATTCACTATATAATCACAAGCTCAAGTTAGCACGATTACAACCCTAGAAGCATTTAGAGACATTATGAGAATCTATATAGCCTGGCCAGCTTGATTACTCAAATTTATCTACTTGTTTTCGATGGGTCCTTCATTAAAACGTGGCCACGGTCCAAACATACTTAAGACCCACCAGGTCTATCAAGGGGCACGACCCCCATAAAAAAAAAAAAAAAAAAAAAATCTTGAGAGTCTGATCCCCTCCTCAAGTACATCACGCACAAGGCTATATGTAAACACATATAAGCAACGCGTCAAAACATTGACAATGTCGAAAAATAACAACTCCCACGAGGAGAATACTAGCTCTGTGCTACTACATTATCGTGAGACAACATCCACGAAGACGTAACTCGATCAACTTGATTACCCCATAGACAACTCCCACGAGGAGATTACTTGATCCGTGCTACTACATTATCGCGAGACAACTCCCACGAGGAGATAACTCGATCAACACTATTACCCCGCGACAAGACAACTCCCACGAGGAGATAATTCGCTACTACATCGTCGCGGGACAAAACCGACGACTCAATTAACTTACATCGCGACAACCTTGTCGCGCTATGCACCAACGCGCATTCACGCCCCTCCGACATATGCTCCAACGCGTTTTCGCATACCATTAGGCCATACACCAACGATCGACTTCTACAACTTTTACTCTCGACACGATTTGAGATCCATTACAACATGGCCCCCACATCGACTCGAGAGTGGGGGGCTTAATGATATGCCTAATTGGGCCAACCCAACGGGCCTACAATTTCTTTACCTACTGGGCTACGAGCCCAATATCGAAGACTAATATCACCGAGGCCCAAACACCTTCAAGTAAGGCTTGGGCCCAACAAAGCAAACCCAACCCAATAAACGACATATAAATAGAGGTTTTACTCATTTTATTAAGGTACGTCCTATTAACTGAGTAATACTATCAACTGTATTCTCGGGACTATTTCCACTATCAGCACGTCTGACTTGAGCGTCGGAGGGGTTTCCGCCGGATCAACCCCCGGCGTAGTTCACGTGTGCTCATTTCGCAGGTACCTCAGGATCATCAAGTTGTCAAGCTACTGATCCGGTTTGCTCTCCCAGTTCATTTTCTACACCACCCTAGGTGAGCTATATTTTAGCATCATCAGTTTCCAAATTAAGTTATTCATATCTCTCTATATGCAAGGTCGAGAAACATTTTTAAATCATATATGATCTCTCTATATGCAAGGTCGAGAAACATTTTTAAATCATATATGATACAACATGTTAGGCTATGTGTTTGTGATAATATACATTACAACATGCAAAAAAAAGTATTATATTATTCTTTCAATTGAATGCATCCGGTTAGTCTTTCTGGAGGGAGATTTGTTTTCTTATTTGCGTTGTGTAGTACAAACAATGGAAGATTTTGGGATTTCCTGCTAGGAGTGAATAGAAGGTGGCTGCACTTGAGAGTTTATACGGCGAATGATCTCACTTAAACTCATCACCCCGACATCATAAATAACCTTGCAACAGTTAACGCAGGTGAATTACTGAACATAGATCTGATCAGCATTCGGCAAAAACCATAACTATTCAAATGATAACATACCTAATTCATCTGAATTCGACATCCTTAAATCCAAAACAAGGAAGCGTTTTAACTGGAGCAAGAGTAAAAGTGTAAAACCCAAAACATCCCTCAAGTCCAATCCCCTCCCTCATTACTTCCCAACTTCAACTATAATAACGATTATGCTCGATTTCAATTTAAGATACAAAAATATTAAATACTAATGGAGTTTACCTCGATTATTATTCTAACCCCAAAATGTGCCAAAAAGACGAGAGTAAAAAAATTCAGCAAAACTTTGCCTGAAACAATAGATATAAAAATGTTTTGATTGTAGCAACAATATGCGTTTAGTTTATTCCAAATTCTGCAATACATTCAGAGTTTCCGAGAGTAGATGAACAGAACATTCAATCATATTATTTGACAATGTTAAAAGATTTGGTGAGTAGAAAATCATATAACTTGGTGCCACAAATCAGCTATCTTTTGAAAAGAACGCATTGACTTGTTGTATAACCAATAAGGTAGTCTTGACAAACTCGAAGGAGGGAAAGAAGTGGGAGAATTGAGAAAGATGCTGCAAGCAAAATAAAGACAGAAAATATGACTTGAATACCATTGAAGAAACGCGCTGCAAAATCAATGCACCTCTAATGTGTTCTCATAAAGCAGTACATTCCAGTAGATAAGCCCACGAGATAAACGAAAAGGAATTCGAATTAAAGCTCATGCAATAAACGATTTTGAAGTCATAACTTGGTCAATAAGGTGACAAACATGTCAAAGCTAAACAAAAAGTTTGTTCTAAACAACTTTCCGAATATTATATTCAAATTCAAAACACAAACAAATTAGATAATAATTGCTGATTATTCTTCTTCTGACCACCTGCAAAAACCACAAAATCCAATAAGTAATTCAGACAAAGGAATATACTGGCAGATGAAGGGGTAAACATGAAATAGAAAGCTCAAGTTTTTAAATGAAAACCAAAGGCGGAAGGGGAAGATAGAAAAAAGCTGGAGAAATGAGATGGGTGAGCTGACTTGGTCCGACGGGAGCTGAAGCCACCGGCATACTGCTTCACGAATTCATCATATGTGAGGTCTGAAAACTGGTTCAAGCCAACTCGGTATGCTAGCCCCTTTTCATTCTCTTCTAGAATATAAGAGCATTGAGTCTCGAAAATGCATCTTCGCAATGCTTCTTCGCGCTTAGACACGTAAACCTTGCCAAACATTTTGGCCCAACGATTGAATAAATTCGTTTGCAATTCCATTTTTTTATTGAAAACGCTTTTCACCTCCTATTAAAATAAAAATATCAAAATAATCAAAATAAATAAAGCCTTGGAAAAAAATAATGACTTATAAAAAAAAAAATTAACCTTGTAGTGCGAAACCATTGATTTGGCTGCCATGATACAGAGAGCCGATAACTTCTTCGAAGATCCTGGCAATATTGAAAAGGGCAAAATATATAATAGGCATATATCAAGCAAAAATTAATTTTTGCAACATTCAGAAATCATGAGCAAGTGGCTGCATATAGATAGATTCAACATTGAGATTTGAGACACTATTAGGGTTGTAAATCGGACAATTGGCGCAAAATATGTTTCCGATAGTAATAGAGTATCAGAGGAATCGATTCGGAGGGAGATAGGAAAAGGAAAAGGAAAAGAGTAGCAAACGCAGTAGTAAGAGTAACACATACCGGCGTCGACTCCAGCTCCGCCCTGATTCCGCCTCTTCTGTTGGACTTGGATCGCTGGATGAATGAACAAGGGAGGACTATTTTGGGGTTTTCGTTTTTTGTTTTTTTTTTTTGGGGGCCAAATTTCACGAGTTAAATGCAAAAAACCCCGTGTAATTCCTAAAGGCCAAAAAAGCCCCCGGGAAAAAATAAGTCACCAAAACCCCCCTAACAAGTGTTCAATCAAGCACAATCGACCCTTTTTTTATTATTGTCCGTTGACCGCTCGCGAAAAGACAAAAAAGCCCTCCAGATAAATATGTCCAACCTCTAGAAATTTATGACTGAAATAAAATTTTCAAAATTTTCAATTCAGTTCCTAAGACATTCAATTTAGCCCTCTTCCCCAATTGAAAAAAAATTACAGCAACGCACGCTTCGATTTTAATTTCTCAGCTCACAGCTCACATAGACACGCCTCACCCACTCAACTCTCACTCAGAAGCGGCTGCAGCGGCAGCAGAACGATTTTGAGAGGATTTTGCGACGGGCTTTGCTATTCGTCGGAGAAGTGGTGGAGCTCGCCGGACCTCGAATTGGCGGCGACTTTGGAGAAGATCTAAACTCGCGACGGCGGCGGCGGCGGTCGCTGGGCAACGTCGGAGAAGAAGATGGCAATGTCGGAAAAGAAGATGGCGTGAGTTTGACGGGAGGAAGAAATTCCAATTTTTCTTCTTCTTTTTTTTGTTTTGTTATTTTTTAATTTATTTATATATATATATATATATATATATATATATATATATACTAGTATTAGGCACCGCGCAAGGCGCGGTGGCAATGCCCAGTACATGCATAAAGTAAAAAAGAATACCAATGCATTTACACATAATCTAAATTAATCTTTGTGCACCAGAATCACTCGAACAAAAATCACAAGGGAAAATCGAACAAAAATCACAAGGGAATATCCAACGCAACAGTAGAAGCACAAAATATTACAAGGGAAAATCACAACAATCGGCAAGGACGGAATTTGCAGCAATGGACAAAACTTAGGTGGGGAGGAACGCGGAAGACTGAATAAACAAATTGAAGAACCAGAAGATCTGAAAGAAATATGTTATTTAAGCGTGTCATAGGCAAAGGCAGACACAGATGAAAGTTTAGCCTGCTGAACGAAAAATTGTGCACTAAAACCGAAAGCTGACAAGACCTACACATAAACTGCAATTTTAGCATGTTACAGAGAAATAAAACTAAAAACGAGAAGGAAAGAAGGAAGAAGGAAGCAAGATATAATTTCCAAAGAAAGTGAAGAAAGCTATCACCAATAGGAACCTGCCTAAGATTGTTAATAAACCAGCAAATGAACCTAAATGGGAAAAATCCCTTCAAAACACATGGAAAAGTTCAGGAAAAAGTGACAAGCAATGTTTTATTAAGTACCATATTTTAACTCCACCAGAAACACTCTGTGTTCTTCGAAACTCTAGAATAACTGGCCTCATTTATTCAGAGTCCAAAATATCAGACGTACTAAAATTGAATAAGGTACTCAAACAAGCTGCAGTTAATTAAAAAAAAAAAGAATATATAGAAAATTTGGTAAGGCTCATAAACCAGAAGAACTCAAATTAAACAAGTAGTAAAAGAAGCTGTAATGGAGAAGATACGTCCACAACCATGAACATACGAACATAATTTCTCTACGACATTTGTATATGCTGAAGAACTAAAACACCATCAGAAAAGAAAACGGAGAAGGAAATATTAAGCATATAGTAACTTTCGACAAATCACAAATCACGAGACCGGAATTTATTAAGTAAAAATAAATTTTCCAATTTGTAGTTTGGCATCTTAGTTGTCCTCGTTGTTGTTCTTTCCTGTGAGTTCTTTTTCATTTTAAATAAAATTTCACAAAAAAAATTCAAAAATGGCCAGTGGCCACAGTTGATCCTTTACAGGTTTGGCAACATTCGAAGTCGCATCAAGTCCTTCAAGCACCAAACATAACTCAATAAATAACATATACAAAACAAAATTATGCCTTTTTTCATCATAATACAACAAGTTCGAACACAGTTCGATTAATTACCTGTCGATATCTACAATTGTTGACCCAAACAGTGTCGAGTTGGCCCGCTAGATTGATCTTTCCAAGACAGTCAACATGCACTATAGTGTATCACTAAACATCGAAGTTCCTAAAGAACCTCGTTTTGTCATCTTCGATCATGCCGCCCTCTTTAACTTCGCTGGGGAACACCATAAGCAAGCTAGAAAGCCTAAACAATTGATAGCAGACAATCAATACCAGAATCCATGTGCATATATCGAAAAACCAAATAACCCATCAAAATTAATACGGTATAAATATCAGTGAAGAAAAAAAAGAGATTACAGAGCAAACAAACGGTGGAGTTGCCTCCCCCTAAGAGAATATGTATATTACACGACCACTCTTTTTGTTCGCCGCCGTCCTCCAAATCCAGAGGAATCTCAGATGAAAGAAACGTCGTAACATCGCAGTGTTGGATTCGTTGCATATTAAGCAAGACTAAAGTTATAAAAATAATCAGGTTCATCATTAAATATTTACACTTACATTCTCCTCAAATATAACAATTCCAAAGAGTCAAGGGATTTTCCAACAAATAACCCAATATTTTCACTTAATACATTAGGCCACCTTTGCAGAACAAAGGAAATTGTTCAATTTATAAAAAAACTTGGAAGAACCACGCAATAAGAAAAACGAGCAAATCAAAGCATTAAAATTACAGGAAATAATACACCATTGAAGCAGAAATGCATTTAGTAATTAACAAAAGTTGTAATAATAAACTCGTTCTGCGTTTATCACCACCCATATAAATTGGTGCGGGATGGTTGAATGTGGGCGGGGTCGGGTGTGTGTGGATTGTCCCGACCTACACCCTTTGGTTTTCTAGATTGTAGAACAGTTGGGGAAATTTAATTCGTAAAAAATGCGGGTCACGTACGCATCGGGTTGGGTAAATCGGTTTTATGTTCATCCATAGGCGAAGTGTAGTTAAACCTAAAGTCATATATCAGTGTTCTAAAAATCGGCCAAGGCGGCCGATTAATCGGTCTTTGAAGCGGAGGCGGTTCCAAACCTTTACGATTTTGGTGTAAAGGTTTGATAAATGGGATTTTGGTCTGTGAGGCGGGTTGAGAAGGTCTGAGGCGGTCAAACCTTGGAGGCGGGTCAAACTTTAGTGCTAAAAATCGGTTTTCTTTTTAAATCCAAAATAAAAGTTGGGCTTTAAATTAAAAAAATAAGTTTATGCTTTATTTTGTTTATGTTAATTGTTATTGTTATAGAACCTAATGATGTATACTGGTAATGTTAAAGAATAAATTAAAATTGAAAAAAATTGTGTTTTATTTATATTTTATAAGGAGGTTTATTGCATTATGATCTTATTGTTATTAAATTTTTATTATAATATTAGGAGATATAAATGATGGATATATAACCTTGTATAAATATATTTTTATATATGTTTTGAGTACTTATAAAATATCTAAAAATATATTATATTAAATTTTAAAAATCGATTTATTTGCGACCGCCGCACCGATTAATCGTGGAGTTTATTGCATTTACTACCCTTGTGAAAATCGTAATTGTGTGATTCCCCCTGTAATAACAAAATTAGTAAATACCCCCTTTCTTAATAGTCAAAGGCAAAAATCCATATCAGAGCAGATCGTGTGTCCCAATCAAAACTAAGCAGATCGGGCTGAAATAGCATGTTCACGGGCCTCCACGTGCTCTTTTCATCCAAACTAAGTTATTAACGCCACATCAAACAGCAGACTGAAAGTGTAAAAAACTGATTATTTGAGGACCAATTTCATGGCAGAAAATATTTAAGGACCAAAATTGAAAACAGTGTATAATATAGGTGCCAAAACTGCATATTTCCCTATTTAAGTCACAAGTTGCTAAGTTATTGGACGAAAATACAACATTCCAAACAAAATGGACTAAATCTCCCAAAGGTGTACGGAAAACTCTTATTAGTTTTTACCACTTTGTTAACTCTAGAAAACATCTCTCTGAAGTTGTCGGTTCCCGCACACCATGGCTAACCCCTTCGTTTCCTCGTGCAAGGTCTTTTCATTTACTCAATTTTATTCAGATTTATACTATGTGTGTGTATGCTCGCAATTACTGATTGTTTTTTTTTTTTCATTTTTTTTGTTGGACTATTTATTTTGTATGGAACTGAAATTTGGATGAGAAGGCTGAAACACGTGGAATTGTTTTTAACTTTCCTATTTTTCTAACTAAATTTTAATTATTAAATAAGTAGTGCTTAGTGGGTTAAGTATAGTAGTTAGTGGGTTAAGTAGTGCTTAAGTGGGTTTAATTGTGAATATTATTCTAACTCCTTAAACTAACCCACTAACCCATTTTCTTGAGTGCTCTTGTGGTTGGTTTTCTTGCAGATCATGGGCTGAGTAGTGGAAGCTTGGAATGTCTATAAATACCGACTTCAAGACTCAAGGAAATTAATCGATTCTACGAAATAAAAACCGAGGGCTGAAGAATATTCACGAGAGTTTTAGAGTGGTTTTAGAATCGGTCGTTTGTACTCCTCATGAGTACAATCTTTACGTACTCCTTATGAGTACATTCTTTACGTACTTCTCACAAGTACATTCTTTGTAGTCTAGATTGTATAGTATATATGTTTCTAGACTTGGTTGTAAGAATGATCAAGATAGTGATTCATTCATAAGTTCTTTACGTACTCCTCACGAGTACATTCTTTGAAATCTAGAATTTTTAATATTTTTCTTTTAGTATCTAGATTTGATTGTAAGAATGATCTTGAAAAAGATTCATTCATAAGGAAGAAGTTTTCGCACCTCTTCTGTTTGTATTCTTGGAATACTGATTTTAATATATTTTTCCGTCCTGTAAAGGGCAAGTTCACAAGTCTTTACTTGTGAACATTTTTAATTCTGAGTACTGTCTTTTAATCTTTATATTTCCGCTGCATGTTGTCTCAAGTGTCATAACATTTTAGATAACATCTCTGTATAATACGAATTCGGGACCATAAATTCTT